TCTCAATCTGCCCACCAAAGATACGAACCTTATTCCAGCCCTGCCCCCTTCCTCCTACTTCACTTACAAAACCGAGGGGAACGTGTGCCTCCCTGACCTCCCAGTCTCCAACTGCAGGCACCTTCAGGTCCCCTCCGCCTGTCCCTGACTCCTCTTCAAGCCTCTTCCTCCCCCTGAATTACTTCCTCTGGTGGCAGGACACATTTGTCCCCCAAACCTAACCAGGCACCGAATTCTGCCAGTTGCACATTGGCGATATATCTCCTTCTCCCCCATGTCTCTGCCATTATCCTGGTTCAGGTCCCTGTTATCTCTTGCCTAGACAGACTCCCAAATGGTCTCCCTGCCACATGATTATTTCAAACCCAGTCTCTCCAAACCCAACCAGGCCTTTTCCCTTCAAATCACTCCTCTGCCTTCTGTTTCCTCTTCTCTGAATCTTCCCTCCAGTAGAGATGTCTCTTTGATGGGTGGCTGGATCTAGTCACTTGAGCCCCCTTCTGGCCCGCCCTCCCTCCCCCAAGTAAACATGGAGTGCCAACCATGTGCCAGGCACAGAGCAAGGTACTGGGTGTATGAAATAAAAGAATAGTCCCAGTCCCGGCCCTCATGTTCAGGTCATTACCAGGCCACCTCATACCACAAAAGCGTCTTGACCAGTCCATCCATCCTTAAGTCTCCCCCAGAAAAACAAACTTCCAAGATCACCTCTTGACTGTATCCAGAAACCCTCTACCACCTGACCCTGACATACTTTTCTAGACTTATCTCCAAGTTCACCTTCTCATCTCTCTCTGCCTGCCCAAACCAGTCCACTCAGGCTTCCGGACCTCTTTGTCTCTCCTCTCTAATTCACCCGGGCCATTGGCAGCACCTGAAAATTTCTGCCCATGCCTCTTTGATCACAACAACTGGTACAGACACCAGCTTTTTTTTTTTTTTTTTTTTTGGTAAAGATTTTATTTATTTATTTGACAGTGAGAGACACAGCGAGAGAGGGAACACAAGCAGGGGGAGTGGGAGAGGGAGAAGCAGGCTTCCCAACAAGCAGGGAGCCCACTGAGGGGCTCGATCCCAGGATCCCAGGATCATGACCTGAGCCGAAGGCAGACGCCCAACGACTGAGCCACCCAGGCGCCCCCAGACACCAGCTCTTTCATCAAACACAAAAACTGGGCACTGGACAATCCTTGCTTTCAACACTCGCAATGCTGTCACGACCCACTGCTTCACCCTTTTGCTACTTCATCTCATACATCTACATAGATCTTTTCTCCCCTCCTCAGGTTGGAAGTTCCTCAAGGAGGCAGTTTCTTCCCCTTCTTCCTGTTTCCCAACAAGCAGTCACGTTTCATGTTTTCAACCTACGAAAGTGTGACCATCGACTTGGCCAAAGCACACGGAGGCCCTGGGTCAAGTGGGACCGACAGTGATCATAAAAGTGAGTGCCCCGAACACGTACGGACATGGAAAATGCCTTCTGTCCCCTCCCTGCTTCGCAGTATATCCACTGCATGCTTTCCTGTCTGTGTCCACATTTCAAACTGCTCCTTCTCTTGCCTTCCCTGTTTCTCTTACTGACCTATCCTTCTACTGGTCACTCAGGCAGAGACCCAGAATCATCCACTGCTGTCCTTTCTTGCTCGCTCACATCCCACATCTAAATACCCACAGAGTCCTGCGTCTCTTACCCCCCAACCATGTCTCAAACCCATCCCCCCTCTTTCTCTACCACTACAGCTCTGGGTCACATCTGCAGCTTTTCCTACATAGAGCAAAGCAATCACCTTCTAACTGGTTTGCTGGCCTTCAGCACTGTCTCCCTCCAACTCTGCCTCCTTCACTGCATGGACTAAAATTATCCCTGGCCTGGCCTACAGGAAAACACCCTCTGCACACCAGCCGCAGGAGTCCTCTTGCCACTACCTGCCCCTGAAGGACCAGACCCCAAGTGGTTTCCAGAACAAACCAAGATGTTCCCACTTCCATGCTTTTGCAGATGCTGTTCCTGCATCCTGCAAAGCTGTTCCCTGTGGTCTGTACCTGGCTAACTCCAGCTGTCCCCCCATGCTTGGCCTCCTCCAGGAAGCATTCTGTGATCTCCTTTGCCCAGCAAGCCTAGGTGAACAATCTTCTTTTCTGTGCTTCCACATCAGTCAGTGCATAACTCTCACCACACTTGTGGCTAAAACAGTCTGCCCACACTGTAATCACCACTGCCTCTAAAAGCCTAGCAGCGGGGCAGGGAGAGTTGGTTAAAGGAGGGAAGCCAGACTCACTTCCCTTCTGTAGGCTGCTTTCCTCTGGTCTTCCCCTGACTTACACACTTGGGTCAGCCTCGCTGCTTCATTATTGCCACCTAGGGGCAAAAGGCGGCAACCGCACTTTCCTCACCATTCAGCATTTAATTTGACTCTATTGAAAGGGATGGGAACACAAGCTAGGGAACAGTTAGTTGATTCCAGGGCGGGTAAAGGGAGAGTGGCAATCAGAGGCGGCTTCGAATGGGGAGTGAGCTCTGAGCTGGGCCTCGCAGCATGAGGAAAGGATCTCTAGGTGGAGGAGAACTGGGAGGCAGTGGGACAACAGGCAGAGAAAGGGTGGGAGTTTTAGGTCCAGGTGCGGGTGAAATGCAAACGGGAGGGAGGGTCAGGAGGTGCAAGACCTGGGATCCCAAGCTTTAACTTTTAAGTCACCTAAAGAGGTGAAAAAAATTAAAATTCTTTCCATTCAGAAAACTTTTAATCAGGAGTGATGATCAGATCTGCATTTTAAAAAAGACAACTTTTGCTGGAGTATGAAAGCACAGAGATGGGAAGCAGGGAGTGAAAGAAGCAATAAAGCAAACAGCAAAAAGAGTATTTTCATAATTCTCTCATTTTCCACTTGCTGCAGCATGACCTCAGACTCAACACATCCAAACCGAAACTCTGCCTCCTCCAAAACCAGTGCTTCAACATAAACATTATTTATTTCCACATTTTGAGATGTTCATATTCCCAGCCTCTTTGTGGACCCTGAAGTGACAAAATTTTATAACAGATCCCAGCACAAAGCTTTGCACACAGAAGACGTTCAATGACAACTGAATGGAATTCCTCTTGGGATCCCCTGGACACCTGTGATCATAAGAGCAGTAAAATCTCATGGTTAAGAGTAAGGATTTTGAGTCAGAGGGCCTGAGTTCACAACCCGCCTCAGCCACCTTACGGTGTGAGACTGGTCGTAACAAGTGACCCATCTAAGCCTTGGTTTGTTTGTCCTGAAGATGGAAATTGCAACAGCACCTATGTCAAGGGCTGGAGATAAAGATCAGATCTGTAAAGGGACAAGCCCATAGTAAATCCTCACTAAACACTGGTGATTATCTATAACATTATCTATTCAGTGCTTACCACGCTCAGGCCATCGCTAGGGCTTCCCACACCCTTAAATCTGCACAGCAATTTTTCCATTCCATTTTACAGATAAGAAAACTAAGGCTGCCACAGTTGAATTTGTACAAGTTCTTGGGAGCCTTGGATCCCGACGCATCAGAGATGTGGCTGGAGGAACTTTTAGTAAAAGATCATTTAGTCCAGTGGTGGTTCTCATGTGTGTAATACTTTTGGCAATATCTGAAGACATTTTTGATCTTCACAACTGGGGGTGGGGGGGGGGGGTTGGAAAGGGAAGAGATGCTGCTGGCATCTAGTGGGATGCTACTCAACATCCTACAATACACAGGCCATCCTCCCCACACCCATCCCAACCAAGCGTGATCAGACCCAAAATGTCAGTAGTGACCAGGTTGTGAAATCCTTCTCCAGTAGGACCATCCTTCCCATTTTCCCACTTCTGGAGCACTGACCATACAGATCCTACATACTTTTGGTAAGGGGGGGGGGCTCTGTCCCTCCAGGGGCAGAGCATTCAAAAGTTCTCCACCTGCCCTGCACACAGTAGGTATCAGAACCCATTTTAATAAGTCTAGCAGCAGAGGAGACCGGAAAAGGAAAAGCATCCATCCCCCATTGTTCAATTGCGTGCAGGTTGTGTTTTCAACACACACACACACATTTTACAAATCCCAACGTCCCACGCCCCAAAAACAGCTTTGTTAGAGATGGCGTTCAAATAATCTATATTTTTCTAGGACTCCCATACATACCGAAAGGTATGCACACTTCTAAAAGGACCTCAGATCGGCCGCGGTCTTCTGACAACGACTACAAAAGAATCTGTAGGATTTCCCCGGGGAACGAGCCCGTGGGCCGTGACCTCTGCGCGCCGAAGGCGCTCACCCCACTCCCTCGCCTCTGGCTTCGCTCTCCCGCCCCCGGCTCCTCGGCTCCCAGTACTGCTGGGGCCCCGGCCGCGAAGCCCGGCCGCCAGGCGCGTGCCCACGCCGTGTCCCCCTCGCCCGCCCCTCGCGGCGGCTGAGGAATC